GACTATCTGGAATCGAAACCGTGAAATTCCTAGTAGCTTCCTTGCAGTGGAAGTGTGGGATTGGGACCAGTTTCCAGTAACACTGAATGTATCTTTCTGGCTTTTTAAGCTATGCCCGCATAAGAACAATTGTGAACTTTGGAGGAAGCCAACAGAAATGTTTGCCTTGGCATCATTAGTGAAGGGAGCTAGTTTCAAGGGAAGTGTAGGTTTTAATTAATTAGCTGAGCAGACTTGTATCAGCCAGTTTTTAAGGCCAAGTGAAATATAAGACAGACACTCTGCGAACCCAGTGGTGGGCGCGTGGGATGTGTGTAGGACTGCTCTAGCAGGCGAGTTGTGAGTCTGGAGAACCTCTGCATTTGCTGTTCGCTCCAGCACTTACGTGCACTGATCTCGTACAAAAAGGTGAGGTTACCGTAAACATCTCCAAGTGACTTGGGAGATGGATCATACTTCAAGTCCACGGTCCTTTTAAATATGAATTGTAGTGTTTTCAAAAATCCTTTGTAGGGCCATTATTTTCCTAACATTTGTGGTGTTTTGTTGCTCTTTTTGAGATGAAACGGATTAAAAATACCCTTGGGCTGACAAGGGGAGTTTTATCTTGTTGCTTTTGTTGCAGCTATCTGGCTGAAGTAATGACATGGCAATTTTTTTCAAACCTACATCTTTTGAAGATGTGAATTCATCTTTTTATTTTTTTTCTACCCCAGAAATGTTGTTTCTACAGTGTCAGTAAAATCTGTTGGAGGATTACAACTACGAAAACATCTTCAAAGTCTGATCACTTCATTTGTATGTGAACAGGGATTTAGATGTCTTCCTTCAAGTACCTGGACTCTTATCAGGATTGACCTCAGCTTCTGCTCATTCGTTCAGTGGTAGCACAATGAAGTAGAAGCAGCACTGGACACTTCATATTTAAGATGTGGAAGAGTAGTTTAAATTTTACCTCCTTTAAGTCACTACTTTTTAATCTGAGACCAGCTTTGCCACTTTGCATTTTTCCTAGTCACTACAAGAAGAATGCTTCCAGTTTTTAAATAATGCTACTGAAATTTGTTTGTCCTCTATGTGCCTTATAGGTGAAAGGTGATTTTTCAGTTATTTAATTGCAGGAACTTTATGAAAATTCTCTCACACGAAGTTGCTTTTGATAAATTTCTTGTACAGAGGTAGGGCAAAATTCACTGCTCCATTTTGTAGCTCAGATGTGGCATGTATTTTGTGCATGAATACTCACATAGAACAAAGTTACGCATCTGATGAAGACTGTACTTGAACAGGATGGGTATACTTCTCTATTATTTGCTCTCTTTCAAATGCTTTGCCAGGTTAGGATTTTGCAACGTTTTCAAGCTGAAAGCTATTGCTACATAGAGTGAGGTGATTTAGTAATGGTAGCTTGGTTCAGCAGTCAGTGATTCATTTTGTTAGCACATGCTCTGCAGAAAATGCCTGGCTTCAGTTGAGCAGTTTAAAGGAGGTGCAGTGCAATTTATGGTTTTAGCCTTAATTATGTATTCATGCTACTTGTCTGGTTGCCCAGTGTGGAGCACTCTGTGGACGTGAGAAATTGAAAGTGTCTAATCCCTGACTACTTGAGCAACTGTATCTCTTGTGGGTGTTGGCACCCACAGTTCAGTCTTTTAATAGCGAGATGGGGAAGCCCAGAACAACAACAACAACAAAAAATTATTTTTATAACACTTTGTTAGAGGTAAAAAAAAACACAGGGTTTTCAACATCGAACACCATAGTAAAATAAGAGACCATAAGTTTAAAAAAATAAATCAAAAACCAGAAACATCCTGAGCATTACAGAAAGTACGTAGTGCTTTCTGTCCTCCCGTTGTGAAATGGACTCAGTGGAACGTAATGCTTATGAGAAGAGACAAGTAATGAAGGCAGCTAATGGACAGCGGGTGGCAATTTGTTCTGCTAGATTTAAAGCAATACAGCAAAAATAATGCAGCAGTGAGGCTTCAATATCCCGTGTCAGTTCAAGAAGCCAGAGTAACCAGTTAAAGCCAGCTGTTGATCAGTCCCTTCAAAACAAAATTTGTGGTGGTTTTTGTGCGTGCTGTCTGGATGTTTTTCTTTCAGTATAAGAAAGGGAGCTCAGATCAGTCCATGGTTATACTGCATAAATACTTTTCGAGAAAGAGATTCGTCATTAGTGAGTGTTTAATCCATTATAGGTGTCTGTTTGGAAACTATTTAGGCAACTTTTGGCTGCCTTGACCAGCCTATGCGTGCTTGAGGAAACATTGACCAAACATTTTTACAGGGCCATTTTGTGAACAGCAGGGAGGCTAGTGAGAGGGCGGTATGGGGAAACCATTTCGTGTGTGCATTGTGTAGGTGTTAAGTCTTGGGGCACAAGGCGAACAGGCAGCTATACACATCTCTGCAGGTTTTGTTCACACAGCAGGGGGTTTTGAGGGGAGGGAAGGTGGGCAGCCTGTGATGGCATCCTCAGCAAGGGCCGAGATGGCGGCAGGGGAGGATGGAGGAGTAGCGGGAAGTGGGCTGTGTGAAGGAAGAGGCAGGGGAGGGGAAAGGCAGAGGGCGAGGAGTAGCATGGTGAGGCAGGAAGGAGCAAACCGGTGACATTTTGTAGCAGTGACCAAAGAGCTGGTGGTGGTGGCTGGAAGTTGCCGCAGGCAGGTGTGGGTGCTCTGAGGGCAGCCAAAGGGACAAGCCAGCCAAGCAGTGTGTATCAGATGGCATTTTGTGAGAGATGGGGTTCCTCTGCACAGGTGCTGACTAGCAGATGATGTGCTCTGCTAATCAGCTCCTACAAAAATTATGAGTTTTTTGGGTTTCGTCTTTGTTTTTCCATCTTTAGCGAGCATTATGGTGGGCTGTTGGCAGGCAGATGAAGTGTGGTGGGTTCTTCATCGGAGCTTTCCCTTGTCCTCTCCCACAGATAGGAGCAACGCTCTGATGTAAACCAACCCTAATTTTGCCTACTTCAGTCACAGAAACTGTTGTTTATAGGTGAAGGTTAATCCCACTTAAGCACTGGATTAGCGAAGACGTAGTCATTTAACCACAGAGGCCTAAATGCGGGCTGAGGCGGTGTTCAGTCAGTCCTGGCGGGGATTAGGGCTCTGCAGACATGCAGTATCGAGACAGTTTCATGGTAGGCCCTGCACCGCAGAGGTGTAAATCTAGCAAAGTTCACCATGACAGCGGTTGTGTGCTTGGCCTGCTAAATGACTGTGTGTTTTGTGGAAACAAAGACAAGGAAAAGATCTTTGTGCGTCCTGTAAACCCCGGTTCCTCAGAGAGGGGAAGGGAATTACAAAGATAAAGGGGAGGATAGCCAATGCTTTGCTGTCTTGGGTTAGTTTAATGCAGAGCATGGTGTGCTGATAATTGCTGCAGGATTTCCCCAGGCACCAGAAAGGCAAGGAAAGTAGGCTGGGGTTGGTGGCTGAGCTCGTACTTGGGCTTTTATCTCCCCTCTCTGACCTTCCTTGAAGGTGTTTATCTCTTTATGGACATTTTGATAAGGCATGCTAGCAAATCCTGGAGTATGAGCTTTGTAGGAACTGAAATGTGGGAAGAAAGATTAGCATCGATCTGAGCTCTGAGGAGGTGAGACAGGGAATTCTCTGCACACAGAATAAAGACATCAGCTTTGGGCAGTAGGGTAACTACTGTACCTATTTCAAGCACAGTCCCCATTCATTTCAGTTAAAAATCTTGCTAAAGATAGGGTAGCTGAGGCAGATTCCTAAACAACTTTTATCAGGTTTTAAAAACAAAACAAAAACCACAAATCCCACCAGAAGCAACTGATGAGGTCAAACAAATGTGGCTGTCAAGATAATGAGCTTTCTGCGATCATCTTTGCTTAAAGTTGCAGCAAGAAGTGAGAGCAATCCAAAATACATCCTGACTGTAAGATCTTCCCATGTTTATTTGTTCTTGAGTGGGTTTCTCTTATTTTTTTCTCCTTCCCCAAACACAAAATAGATGCTTTCTCTGACATAAAAGATAGCAGCAGTGCTACGGACAGCCATTTAGTAAAAACAGTTTGTGTTCTTTATAGTTAAAAAAGCAAAAGTTGAACTTAGAACTGCTTTTAAAGTCATGCATAAAATACATTGTTAATGAATATGTAGCAGTGTGCACAGGCATGATGCACATGTTCCATTGGGAACTTTTGAAGTCTGTTCATAATCACCTCCTAAAGATGCACTCTACAATGTGGGGAATGTTGTATTTGAAGTTTCAATACAGTCTAAATTTTGTATGAGTAAACTACTTAGACTATGGGCATACATAGTTTTGGTTTCAGAATTTTAAACTAGTTTAAGCTATTTCTTTGTCAGAAAAAAAAAAAAAGCAAAACTTAAAAGGGACATTGAAAATAGTGATTGAAAACATTCTTTCATTTGAATGAGAAAGTTAGTAGTCGAGGGATTTGGATTGTGCTTGTTTCAGGGTTTTTGGTGGGCAATGCTCTGCTTGGCAGGCATTTTGCTTCGAGTGTGTTTTTATATGACTTCTGATGGAGAGCTTCAAAAATAAGCTGCAGAGAAGGGAGAAAGCAAAACTCAGAGATGGAGAAGAAAAGTCAAGTCCCAGCTGAAGAGATTTAATGGGTCTTGAAACATCTCAAAATGTGTCAACCATATTTAGAAATAACTACATTAAAAAAACAAGAAAGCTAAATCCTTTTAACACTGTAAATCATGGAAAGCAGTGAAAACTAATATTTATGAGGGAGATTGTGAAAGCTTGTGTGACAGTTGGAAATTACATCACTGTTGATGTTTTAAATTCTTGTGTAAAGTAATGCAATACTGTGTTTATGAATGAACAAATGATTGTGCTGTGCTAAGCATACTGTATATGGATGAACTGGGTTGAGCTGTTACATCTCTTGTCTTCACTTATGTTACTTTGCAGTATGCAGTCTTGTATGTTTCATGGTAAATACAGAAAAATGAATTCAGTATATCTATTTTTTTTAATTCCAGATACAGACCCACGTGTATTAGAGAAACAAGAACTTCAGCAGCCAACCTATGTTGCTCTAAGTTATATTAACAGGTAAGTGTGGTTATTTTTCAAGTAGAATTGATCATGGTTTGCACAGTGTGTGTGTATGCACATGCCAAAATGATACACTTACGTGTTCATTATGATTGTTTTATGTTATAAGACACTGTGATAACACATGTTCTACAAGGACAGATGAATTAAAATTCAACTAAATTTTAAATCACTTTAATATAGGACATGAGCAGCCCTTCAGTTGCACTGCTCAAATACTTAGGAGATGAGGTTTTAATGTTTTATGCTGAAGCTAAATCTTGTGCAAAGCAAGATAATTTCTTATTGCTTATTTTTTCACTTTCTTGTACTCCATGCAAATGAGTGGAAAAAGATTTTTTTTACAATCAATATTTAAATTCAACTGATAATAGTACAATATATGAATTTATAGTACTTTTACAGTTTTTCAGCTACAGTGTATATAAAAAAAAAAAACAAAAAAAAAAAAACTTGCTTACCAGACCTATATAACCTGAAAAATTTAAGAAACTTAAACAGCTTTTAAAACACTAATCTAAATAACAGAAAATAGACTTGACTTTTCATTTATTGACTGATAGCAGAACTGAAACCTCCAGAATGCAGGAATGGAAGGGCTGCTTGTGTCTTGGGCTGCACTATGGTAAAGAGCAACCTGAGAGTAGCTCCTTAGTTTTCTTCTCACTTAAGCCTATCACAGAATGAGACAGAGGTACCTCAGATTGCTTTTCCTCTGGGAGAATTGACCCATGCAGCATGCTGCATGGAAGGAAGAGATGGTAAGTTTTTGTGGAGTTGCAGTGCCCCTTTCTCAGCATGTCTTCCAAGTTATCTTTTACTCCTAAGCAAGCATTATACATGAAGGGCTGTTCCTCATTTAAAACCCTTTTTTTCCTGTTTTCTGTAAGTCAACATGCTGCTATTCTGGGCTTACTTTGCCTTCTTTTATATATCATGTGTTTGTTTTGTTTTGTTTTTCAATCAGATGTACTGTGGTTAAAAATCAGAGTCAGTTGTCTCTTGGAAATGCATTTTTGGAAAATATTGTGTATGGGATTATTGGCTTTTATCCATGGTATCTGAGTTCCCTTTTGTATCTTTGCTATCCTAGTGCATGAGATACAAACTCACAAGCCTGAAAGGTTAACCCGGAATTTAATTCAGGATAAAATGAGTTTGTTCGAACTCTCATTGGTCATACATAAAGTAATTTTTTTCATTTTAATTCTACTTCATGTTAAAAGTGAGGGGAAATAAAGCACACTTTTGTACAAACGAATCCACTGTTTGGCTTTTGTTTAATATTTGCTATAGAAAAAAGGTGGCAGGCGGGGGAAAAAGAAAGACTGATGTATGAAAGGAAGAAGTGATGTTCACTTGGTGAAGTGACTACATTTTCTCCACTGTATGATACTGTTACGGTTACGAATAGCTGGTATTGACATGATTTCCTATTTGGCAAGTGACTGCTGTTCTTCCTGGAGACAGTCCTACCCTTTAATGCATACTTTGAAATTAACCGTGACCCTCTTTTACACTTATTTCTGTTGATCTCATTTAATGTATAAAACTTTTCTTGCAATATGTAGGCTTGGTATGTTGTCATGTATGTTGGTGTGTTTCCCTTTTTCCATTATATACTTGGGCGTTTTCCCTTGTTGCTTCTGTGGTTATTTTACTTAATGTGAGAGAGCGGAAAGTTTTATAAAAATAAAAAAAAATTAAAAAATAGGGAAAAGCTGTTGTAAGATAACAGGAAGTGCCATGGGACTTGATTGTCTGATTCAGAATTGGAAACTGCTTTTAAAAGTAGTGTGAAAGTGATACCCTGTTCAAATTTCACAATTTTGCTACCCTATTTAACTGAGTTAGATTGTTTTGCTTACTACGTTTTGCCCACAAACTTTCTTCCCCTTTTAATTTTGGGAAATAATTGTGCAGAATTTGTGTTCTTATAGCAAAAACCCAACCTTAATTGACTCTTACTTAAACCAGCTGCTATTTAGCTGTCTTGTAACTGTCTTTTAATTTTTTCTAAAAGTGCTGATGTCTTTCATTGAACCACCTGCTCTGAGCAGCTCAAGCTCTTGAGGGAGCAGTGATATCCATTACACTCCGAGACATGCCTTTCTATTTCCCGCTACATATGCCAGAGCTGGGTTCTGCTTTGTTGTCCCAGGCTATGAACTCAGATTTTGTAGCCTAATACATGTCATAAACATGTTGCATACTGTTAGATATCAAACACCAGATACTGCTGCACTTTTTTTAAGCCCGTGCTTTTATAGCTTCCAAGTGGAACTGAACTTAGCTCGGTTCCTGCTGTGAGTTCCAGGCCTTAAACCAATCTCCCTCTGCAGGTCTGTATATTCAATATGTTCTGTGTGGGCCATACGTTCTCATGGAGCCTGGGAAAATGGGGACTTGTGATTCTCAGGGCCTGTCAAAATTGTGTAAGATGTATACTTAGTACATGTAGAGGTGGAAAAATTCAGGAGAATGATTAAGTGGGTGTGTGCCATGCTCTGCTCGTTGCCTTAAGGCATGGTGGCCATTGTAAGCTAAAGCAAAACATAAATTGGGGTTGTCTGGTTGGAGGGTAAAGTATCAGTAAAGCAGACAGAGATGAAAGGGTAAAGGAGAGAACCTGAAACATACTCCTGCATCCATTTCCGCTTTACTCCCAGGTTGTTTTCTCAGGCACATTAATATGGCAACACTGTGTGTGCACTTACATTCTGAAACAACCTTCAGCTTGTGGATGTCTGTAAGGCTCAGCCTCTTTCCCTGCTGGAGATTTACTGCCACCACAGCCTTCAGTAACTACACACAGATGCAGTTTCCATAGTGTGCGATCCTCATGTAGACAGATAACATTCCTTTTCAAGCTGAGGGACAAAGCATAAATTATAGGTCATAATGGCTTACCGTCTCTCCATCAAATGCTTGTAATGGTCACTGTCTGAATTGCAGCAAGTCCTTTCCTCAAACAAAATTTAACATAGTCCTAATGCAGGTCCCCAGTATTGATGAGTTTCGTATTCACTTTTTATTTTCTTTCTTCAAAGTCAACATTGAAGTCACTACTACCAAAGCAGATGCAATAAATCTGCTTTCATCCTGTAAATACAGGAGTAGTTTGCCTGCAAGTTGTTCAGAGGTGCAACTACCTGAGTGGGATCCTGGCTGTGATCTGTAGTAGTTGCATACAAGCACTTGGACCTATATCCTCCAGTACTACTTAGAGGTACTTTCCTTTGTGTACAGTTCAAGACACCTTTATATTTCTCATTGCAGTGAAATAAAGTGATTAGAAGCAATACTAATTATTGTAAATGCTATTACTTAGATACAATACTTATAGCATTAAGTTAATTACATTAATCCTAGGATCTTTTTTTTTTTAAACATAGTTTTCTATTGACAACTGAGGTCATTCAAGGAAGGTTATAATAAAATAGTCTTTGAGCATTGACCCTACTGAGCAGTTACAGAGTAGTAGGGTGAATGTTCTCAGTGTTGCCTGTGAGCAGGCTGTTGAATGTCTATAAAGTTTATTCTTATGCACAAATGGGAGGAGTGCAGACGAAGCTTGAGATCAAAACTGAATGTCACTCTTGGGTCGGTAGACCGGAGCACATCTCTGAGCTGGTCCTGACATTTTTTGAATTTATCCAGAATTTATTTTTATCCAGAATTTATTTTCAACTAGCAAGATTTTGCCTCACTGTTGGCATTTGAAATTCCTGTAGGCTCCAGGCTTTTCCCCTCCTTTCCCTTTTCTCTCAGTAGTCATTGACTTCTCCAGAACATATTTCTCCACTCAGCTTCCTTTAATACTGCTAGGAATAAAATCAATCATTTCTGTGAACATGTGCTTTTGTGAAAGGAATTAATTGTGTATGGAGTTCTAACCACTGCAAACCATCCCCATGTCATGTCTAGCACACTAATTTTGGTTCTACTGCTATTAATTACAGGATTTAATGTTCACTTGAGAGTTATTTTAAGAAGTGGTAAGTCTTCAGGTAGTGGTATATTTTGTATACAGCATTTTGTTAATGCGATAACAAGAATGTTTTGGATTTGGAGACATGGCTCTCTGACTATATCCCTGTGGTTTCCTAGCAGAGTATCCAAGCTGCACAATACTGGTCTTTTATTTCTTTGTCACTGACCTTTACTTTTTTGTTAAGGTCTTGTGTTCAGTGATCGATAGAAATTTAAGTCTTTCTTATTCCTTTCTGTACATGATGTAAACTCTTGCCATTGATCACTTCCATTCATCTCCATCCTCTCTGTCCCTGGGGACAGCCTGTGCTGTGTGTTTATTGGGTTTCCTCTGCCAGTTAGTTCTGTGTATACATTTAGTTATAATAGTAACCATGTTCTTCAGTAAGTAGAGCAATTTGTTAAAGCTACCCAGCAGCATCCTCAGCTTTAGCAGCACATTGAACTTCTTCCTGTAGTTCTGCTCTAGCAGATTTTCCTGAGGTAAGCTGCCAGTAGTAGTCAAATAAGAAGCTAATGAAAGACTCTTAACCTCTCAGAGGTTCTACCTGATAACTGTACATGCCACCAAAAAGCTCAGTAGGATCCTTTCTGAGTGGCAGTGCGCTTTCTTCCTGGTTCCTCTTATCTAAGAGGATCGGTTTTTGTATACTGTGTGGAAAACCAAGATTCAGTTTCCTCCTCTTTGATCCCTAAGATTGTTTTAATCATAAGACTGTTGTCTTCAGATAGAATATCACTTCTTCTCTTGATGTTTCTTCTCTTTTCCTCTTGATTTCTGTGTACCTTCTGTTGGAGCACAGCTTGGAAACTACTAAAATGGACATATATTTTTTTCTCTTCGCTTGCTCTCTTAATGTTTTGTTTTGTTTTCAGCAAATATATGCAAAATAGAACCATTCTGAAGTAGTGAGAATGTCCTTCTAAAATAAATACTCACTGCAGCATTCACCTGATAAGCAGGAGGTCAAAATTCAAATCGATTCTTTCAAATTCAGGCCAGA